ATTTTTTTTTTTTCCCTTTTTGGGTTTATTTCCTTCCCAAACGGGTTTTAAAAGGGTTTCCTTCCCTTTTTTCCCCCCCCCGGGGGGGGGGGGGGGGGGGGGGCAAGAGCGACCGCTGCCGTTCAGCAGCTGGTTGGAGCACGTAAACCCCCATCGCAGGAAAGCTGAGCAGAGGCGCGACACTGAGGGCCAAACAACTTCCAACTTGGGGCTTTTGACCCAAACTATCGCAGGAAAGGAGCACCCCTAGGAACTCGCGATGTCCTCAGGCGCAACCATCGACGACTGCGCGTACTAATTTTTTCGGGGTGAAGACAATCCGGTCGCCCCGGTGGTCTAGTTGGTATCCTCGAAACCTTCTAGCCGCCAGGTCAGGGGTTCGAATCCCGGCGTAAGCGAGCTTTTCTTGCAAAGTGAGTTTTTCTCTCGCTTCCGCTTCTGGCCTAGTGGATAGCGCTAGTTCGTGTGTACACAGAGGGAAGAGAGTGCTGAACTCTTCTCGCATTAAAAATCGAAGGCAAAGTACCGCAGGAGGGGAAGGTAGAGAGGGGCTCTTCCGTGTGACCACGGGTTGGAGTAAACGGCACTAGTGCTGTGAGCGCTGATTTGAAGTGAAGACCAAAAAAAACAAATCTTACCCTCGGCTATTACAGTTTCATGGTTAATGCTTATTTGTTAAAGGCACGGAGGTTGGGGCGAGCCGTGTCGGGATTAAACCGTTGAATTGTTCTAATTGGAACACATTCACACCGGCACAGCGGACGCAGAGGAGGACGGAGGGTACAACACGATGCAGGACATTATCATGTGGCGATGCAGGAGAGAGGAGGAGGGCTCAAAGAACCCCTGGGAGCGGAAACTGCGCAGGGACTAGGACACACCTTCACAAAGGGAACGAGGAAGCCACAAGGACCATGGAATAGGGAAGAGATCGACACATGGGACCCAAAACAAAGAAGCGGATGCTACACGACATCAGTGGCCGCACATGCAGCGCAACGCCAGATGTGCGCAGCTCACGAAAATCAGCACCTCTAAAACGTCGGCGGTTGATCATTTATACAGAGAAAGCATTCGTGGTTCCCTCTCGTGAGGGAAGCCAGGCCAGTAGCCAAACATCATCTAGAATTCCAGCACACACAATTCGACTCTCCCCACCGTCGGAAGCTCGCCGTCTCGCTTGCCTTACCTTACCACCTCCAGGACGGCAAGTGTGTCGTACGCGAAGCCGGCCTCGGACATCGCCGACAGCCAGTCCCGAACCTCTGACTTCCAAAGCCATCCCAGGGCCACCTCGTCGTTCAACCTCTCCTGTCGGTCGGGCCTCCCACCCCTGCCAGTCCCGCCCCCTCCGCCGCCGCCGCCATTCCGCGTCGCCGCTTCGCCTGCGCGGGCTCTCGCCGCGCGGGCGGTGGCGGCGGCCGCCTGGGATGAACCCCGCCCCCCACCGCCGCGGTTTGCTCTGTCGTCGTGCTCCCACCAGACCGGCTCCGTCGCGCGAAAGCTTGTCGTGGCGGTCGTGCCCCCGTCGGAGTCGCCGCCGTCCCCGCCACCGCCGTCTTCTTCCTCATCGTCCGCCGTGGTCGCCGTGTAGGCCGCCGCCGCCCCCGCCGACGCAGGCGGCGGGTGACCCCGGGACGGGAGAGGCTGCCACATGGGAGGTCCGCCACCGCCGCCGAAAGTGGCACTGTTTTGGCTACGGGTCCCGTGACGACTGCTGCTGCTGACCGATTCGGAGGAAGTCGTCACCGCCGCCGCGGGGCTGGTCGTGCTAGCAATCGCCGCGGTCGGGTGGGCGGCGGCGACGGGACGCCTGGGCGGAAGTTTCAGGTCACCGCTGCCGCCTCCGGCTGCCACTAACCCACGGCTTGCTTTGGCGGCCCTGCCTTGCTGCCGCGGAGGTGGCGGCGCGAGATTGAGCTGCTGCTGCCGCTGCTCCGGCGTGAGCTGACGCTCCAGGCTGGGCTTCCCGGCCTTGTCCTCTTCTTCTTCTTCCTCGTGCTGGTCGATAAGGTCGAGCACCTCTGGCACGCTGAAATCTCCTGAGGGACCACGGGGACGAGGAAAGAGGGTGTTCGACAGTCGCGTTGCATGCAAAGGCGGTGGAGATTCACGGCGTATCCGTTGCTTGTAGTTCGAAGCCGTCTACGGCCTTTCGCCGCCTCCGCCCCCGTCCCCGGTACGTCGCCACAACAGGTGGAACCGAGTCGAATAACGTCTACGCACCCTTGGCCACACCTCATCGTCGTAGGGCTAATCATTGCACAACAGCCAGCATGAAGATCTGTACCCCACACTTCGAACTTGCTACCGCCACCTACATACATCCACACGCAGCCAAAAACACGAACCAAACGCCCCCCACAGCGCAAAGTATTCTCCCCGCCCTCTCACTTTCCTTGCCTGCGGTAGCGGGGTCCACGTTCCTCCTGCCTCCCACCCCAGCCGCCCCGCCCCCCCCGCTCCCCCCTCCCGCGGCAGCGGCTGCCGTCGCCACCGCCGCCGCCATCCCCTTGTCGATCCCGGCGACGTCTATGTCGGGCGCCGACGAGCCGAGTGGAAGTAGCAGCCCGCCCGGCACGCCGGAGAGAAGGATGCCGAGCATTCGCCACGTGTGGGCCATAGCTTCGAGGCCGGCCCGGAGACATACTTCGGCATTGTGGGCGACGAGTACCCTCAGGTGGTAGCCCCGCAACACGTAGCTGTGAGGATCGGGGGGGGCGAGGGGGCGATGTTTCAGACGTACCTTGGGGTTGTGAGCGACGAGAACCCTCAAGTGGTAGCCCTGCAACACGTAACTTTGAGGATCGGGGGGGGGGGGGGCTTTCCCCCAAAAAGGGTTGTACGATTCTTCTCCCATGAAAAAAAAGGGCTGAGCATAAACGTGCTTCCAACAAAGCCCAACGCAAATTTTCCCAAGGGTGGGGGCGACTAAACAAACAAATTTAGCACATGGTGCACAGAGGAGTGACCATGCCCTAGCTGAAAAATCGAACCCAGCGATATTCGTGATCGCTGCATCGACCTTTGTTCTCATTCTTGTCGTGAAGCAGCATGTAGCGACTGCCGGCGTGTTGCCTCGAGAGGCCAAACTTACCGGGTCTACTTGAATGTAGGGAATGAACAAATAACTTTTTGCCTGGACCGTACATACCCAGCAATAGGCTCCTATGTCAACCGGCACAGCCCTAGTTGCCGTCATCAAAATCACACGGTACGTAGAGTTGCGAAAAAAAATGAAGGAAGGTATGCATACGCGGCAAGATGAGAAACACACAACACGTGCTATTCTTAAGTCCCTTGTGCACCGCGTCCACCAACAAAATCGATAAAAACAAAACGCCAACAACGGGACGGACAGCAGTGCTGTACTAGCTGGCATACCTCCTGGTCAAGTGCTCCGTCAATTCTGGGCCGTAGCACCGCTGGACGTTCGTTCTAGGCTGAGGCCTTCCGTAAGAGCACCTAGTCTCCTTCCTACGGATGCGTCGCCAGTGGACCACGTCCAGGGACACCGGCTTGTCGGGCACCGGGTATACGGTCAGCTTCGATGATCTGTTTGTTGGGAAGGGAGGCGAAAATGCGCGTGAGGATGGTGTAGTGGTCGAAGCATGCAAAGTAGGAGGAACACGGTCAGCTTCGACGATCTGTTTGGTGGAGGGGGGGAGGGGGGTAAGCGCTCAAACGTGTCAAGATGTTGTAGTGCATTGGAACACAGTCAGCTCCCACGATATGCTTGTCCGTGGTGGAAGGGGACGAAAAACGTGTGAAGATGGCGTATGGCTGAAGTATGTGAGCTGTAGGGCAGATGGGATACGCGCGAATCGCGATAGCAGCTACGCGTGGCGTGAACGATCGTTTCTCAATCCACAAGGTTTTGCGTACACAGAGCGAGCGGAGGCCCGAATGATTAGAAATGCCCTCAACAGCGCCACACAGATAAGGGAGCTATAAACTGAAACCTAAACATAGGATGTCACAAGCGTACCCCCACTACGCCTATACCCATCAAGGTTCTTAACCATGTAGGGAGCGTGCCAGTCACTGCCCGCCCACTTCCCAAGCCAATCAAAACCTGGATACTGCGAAAGGTACAAGGCAGATAACACACAAGCCGCACCCACCTCGCTCTCCTTTGTGGATGTGCTGCAACCGAGTCCTCCAACTGCTGCTGTGACGCCGCCATTCCAGCCCCAAGCCTCAACTGCGGTATTGCTGCTCCCGACATGCTCCTGCGCGCACCGCGAGTGTGCAAGGGGAGAAACCGCGTAAAGCGAGTGGTAATTGGGTTCGGTTTATCTGTAGGTTTTGCACCAGGCAAAGGATCAACGGACGCACAAACCCTGAAGCCCAAGGTGCGCGGAATGAAATGTCGAAACAGAGCGTTTCGAGGCACGAAACAACATGTGAAGGTCGTGCGGATATCAACTGCCGCCAATAGCTTAGGGTTTTGGCGAAGCGTCCGAAGCGAACCGACATCTAAACAGGTGAAAAAAAAATTTCGTACGAGTGGCCATTTTTCGGACGCCCCTCTTCTTTCCGTCGCGCATTTTGCGCGCGTGGATGACACAGGAACTGCTTCCAACCCCCCCAATCCCAAATAATGATCACTGCGTCACCCCCCGAAACAGAAGGACTCCAGGGAACGTTCCCCAGTTTTTTTGGCAGCTCACCAGGGGGGGTGCTCAGACCGCCTGCCTTCATTCACGGAGAGACGCATTTTTTGGTCGTCTCCCGAACGGTGGGCATCACGCAGGATTGCAGCGCAGGTTCATCTGGCGCTGGTTACGAGTGAATGCTAAGGTCACTTCTGTGTGTGACGTCTGCACATGTCCTGGTCCAGACAAAGTCCACAGCGAACCCTAGCGGGATGACCTTCATATCAGTGTCTACTATTTCATCGGGCACACCCTTCTGCAGCGAAGAAAACAAAAATCGAAAAAATGTATGCGAGATATTTCTTTGTTCGAGGCCAAATGAATCTATTGGCAATATGGAGAGTTCGAAGGAAGAAAAAAGAACACGGAGAAACGGGGGAGGAAACTTCAGCGTCGTGGAGAATCATTCTCCAAAGAGCCCGCATAGAAGACGCGTTGGGTTTTAGTGCTGCGTTCAAGCATGGGCCTGCGGGGGGGAAGCGTGTTGCTGCGAGCGTGCGGCGCGTATCTCACAAACCATCGAAGGGGTCGCGTGAATGCAAGCACTCTGAGCACTCGATGGTCACACGAGGACTTCCGACCTTCACTGTATTGTAACGAGGCACTGATTCGCATATGGGAAAGCGCTGACTGTTCTCGCCGGGTACAGTATGCATATGCGTATAGATGCACCGTACTTTTGAGCAGTCGAAGTCGACCACTACTACGGCCAATGCTATGACGAAAAGCGCTACAAACTGCTACACTGCTTTGTTGCTGCTACTCACTGTCCTCGAGCAAGGCTTGGACTTCGCGGCAATCCGGCTGCCGTCCTATGTGCGGCCGATGCCGCCATCGCCACTGAACCAAAGGGAGGCATCGCCGTGTCCAAACATACAGAACAAAATGTAACGAAAAGTTTCCCGAAAAGAACGGCGAAAACAAAAAAGACCAAAACATGGGAAAAATGACGGGTCAGCAAGCAACATTTATTCTCGTGAAACAGACGACAAGTTAAAATGGGGAGGTAGGACAGCCCCAACCCGACATCCACAGCGAAACGGAAGCTGCATAAGGATTTGTACTGCTCATGGCGCTCAGGGTCTGCGGGCGTTCAATAAAGAAGCAAAATCCGATATATTTGCGCTCGTCCGGGCTCCCCCTCTGTCGCCCGTTCGGCCAAAAAAAAATAGAGCACACCATGCGTCTGGCACGAGCAGCGTAGTGCGCGTAAAACGGCGCGGCTGCAGCAAAGAAAAAAAAAACGACAACGAGCGGCAAAAAGAGACGGCCGAGGAATGACTCTCATACCGACGGAATGATTAGCCCGACGTATGCACTACATACACAGCAGCGTTCCATGCCTTGTCACCGACTGACTAACGTCATATATTCGGAGAAGAAATAGCCGGCCAGCCCGGTTCGTGTAGGAAGCCTACGGAGGCATGCACGCCACACCTGGCCCTCCCGGGGACGAGGTCGGTCCAGCCCCTCCCATCCGCCGCCCCGTGATGATGCCTGTTTGGTCCCCCAGGCTCTGTCATGCCGTCAACGTGAATGTATCAAACGCGCAGCGAGGGGTAGTGTGTTGCGGTCTTTCGGCTGGAGACATCAAAATATCTTCACTCATCCTCTCACATCCAACAAGGCGCCCATAGTTGATATGATTATCGGGGGATCAGGCGGAACTGGTCGGCATTGCCCACGGCATGTACCGGTACAATGCCAATATTTACGCGGTGTCAACAGACGCATCGCGTTACCGGGCTGGAGCATAATACCACACGTGTGTTGCAGACGGGTCCGATTGTTTGGATGTCGACGCGCAATCGTGGGTATGCACACCACCATAACCACGAACAAAGCGCACCAACGCGGCCTGTCGAGTCCGGCCGGCGATCTCGCGGGTGAAAAAAAAGGCAAACGAAAGGCAAACGAAAGGCCGTGGCTTTTCGTCCATAGTGCACTCGCTGGTGCATGGTCCACGTCAAAGCAGCGATACGCAGCGACCGTGAAGCGGACAAACCACGCCCGACCAGTGGTCTTAAACAGGCCATATATATTGTTGTTTTTTCATCACTTCAAAATCAGCGCTCACAGCTTTTCTACCGCGTATTTGTAGGACCCCCCAACCCGTGGTCACACAAACGGTTTTCTATCTCTGAGGCCCTCTATCCCACCGCTTGCCTTCGAGTTTCAAAGCGAGAAAAGTGCAGAGGTCGGTCTCTTCCCTCAAAGAGTGAACACACGGACTATTAATAGCGCTGTCCACCCAGACCAGGAACGGAAGCGAGAAGAAAAAGGCACTACACGCCACCCGAGACACCATGGCTTACCACACTTCGAGCGATCCTCTGCTGCTGAAGCGCCGTCGTCCCTCCCGCCTGGTGAGGATGCTGCTGCTGCTGCTGCTGCTGCTGATGCCGCTGCTGCTGCTGCTGCTGCTGCTGCTGCGCGCAGGGGGAAGCGAGCTGTTTGTCGCTCGTCGTCCGGTCGCGCACCATTTCTCGGAACATTCCCGGGGCCGCCTGCACGGGGGCGACAGGGTTGCGGTACAATCCATGGTCTTATCTCGAAACACCGCGGCAAGAAGCCGGGACACTGGCAGACGATCGTGCAGAAAAAAAGGGCTATTGGTGGAAGCGGATTGGAATTCTTCAAAATAGCGGGGGGGGGGGGGCGACTTCTACACTCTGTAGGCCCCCCTCCCCCTGAGGACAACTGAGGTTCCACGGATCAGGTCTACAGTTCCATATTGTATAACCTCCAGTGCCCCCGGTGAGCGGATGGGAGATGCTGTGAGGGGATCCGCTCGTGGCAGTCGTCTCTGACGGGCTCGTTGGCGGTAGCCACGCACCTGTGTCATCTCGTTCTCGTAGATGCACCACAGGGCCGGGTCGTCCTCTCGTTTGTGAAGGCAGGAGCACATCTCCCCTCTGCTGCTCGACTGGAAGCCCCTCGTGCCGAGGACCTCCAGGTTGCGCCGCGGTAGGGTGGACTTCGCCAGGGAGTGCACCCGGACCTTTCCATGCTGCACCAGAAAAAGAAAACACATACGTTACACATTCCGCATTATTTGCTTATTTTCTTTCTCGTCCTGTTATCTTTTTTCAAGAGTAGAGACGAGGAGGTAGTGAATGCAGCTGTCAGATTGGTTCTCAACATCAAGACAGCAACAAAAAAAGAACAACTTGCATACATGCTTCCCAAAGCAGGTAAGGGGAAACGGGCTGGGGTGCAGTACATGGGCCTACACGCCACAACGAACCGCTACGAAGCGTTCAAGCAAAGCGGGGCAGGAGATTGAAACCTACATATGTACCTCAGTACTTGTTCAGACGCGCGACACACCCACTACCTAGTCGTTGAGAAGAAAATTGATACCAAAATACATGTTTCCATAGTATGCTTGAACAACTAAAACCTTCAGTTCTTCTTTGTTGATTTGTTTTTCATGAAAAACAGCAACAGGCTTACATCCGAACAGGACACCACGTGCTGCCACACGCCCATGCCGCCGCTCCACTCCGCGTTAGCGTCTTCGTTCGAACCCCCGGCTCCAACACGCCTCGCCTTCTGCCAAAAACAAAACATCGTACGTTGTGGACAGGGGTGATGAGGTCGGAAGAAACTCGTCGTCTTTGTAAACTCGTTCCTTGATGCGAGCTCAAGGGTGCGAAAAGACGCGTTAGCGCAAGCAGCAGCAACAGCATCAAACACAACAACCATAAGTGATACTCTGTGGAAGTGGGGCGTTGGTTTAGCGCGTACGGATTCTGTTCGCCGCCTCTCTTGCCTGAACACGACCTAACGAAGAGTTGAAGTTATTCCCTCTGCCAGCGTCCTGAAACCGAACAACGGGCACTCGACAAATAGTGGCACGTCTTGCCTAGCACGCAAATTCAGGCCTCTCTGGCATTTCCGCCGCAACAGACGAAACAACCACAACTCTCCTGCAACTTGGAAAGAGGGGGGATTCGTATATCCTTTCTCGTATGTCCTTCATACCTCCCCCCTTCTGGACCACCGTGCCCCCCTTCAAAAAGAACCAAACAAAAAACGACGTACGCTGGATGCCGCAACCCCGCTGACCCCCGAGGAAAAACTAGACGGCGGGGCCCCCTGGCTCTCCAGGTTTAGCGGCGTGTCCAGCCAGCAGAAGCCGTTCTTCTTGTCGTCGCCCCCGTACAGGGCGAAGTGGGGCACCGCAGGGTCGGTGATGTCGTGCACCATGATCGCGTAGTCGGTGTCTCCAAGGCGAGGGGGAACCTGGGCTGTGGCGATCTGGGTGGGGTGGCCGGGCCTCCATTTGGCGCGGCTCACCTTTTTTCGCCACGACCCCACGTGCATTTGTTTCGGTGTGGGAAGTTTTTGCGGGCAAAACGAAACGGACGGGGGGGGGGGTAGACGAGACGTTCAGAAAACGCCTGTTGCCACGTGTTGCCACGTGTTGAGCACAAGATCAGGCCGAGTGTTGATTCATGCACGTGCGCAACACATTTGGTTGGTACTCAAGGAATACAAGCCACAACTCCGTGCGCCGGAGGCCAAATCATCGAACACTTGAAGAGGTCGTGGAGTGAGCGCGGCTCTAGAGGAGGAGTTGGCGCATGTGCGGCATGCCACCTGGTCTAAAACCGATGGCCAGGTTTCAATTCGTGGGTCTTGGTTGCGCATTTCAAAGCAGGTGACAAGAGGAGGGACAACGCATTCTATCTACCGTTCATGAAATTCCTGCTGTGTTACTCTCACATCGTGGTCTCGCAAGCAACTCAGAAGCCCATTTGCATGCATCGGTGAAACCTTCGCGATTGCACACATGCAAAGCGCAACCGTTCGGCAACACCAACACCACTAGTATAATAACAACAACAACAACAAGCACGAAACGATACCCAGCTGCGACCACAGCTTATCTCCAACAAGATTACTTCTATATATATGTATCTTCACCATGCCGGGCGACCGAAGCGTGATAGTGGATAGGAGGGTCTGCTCCATCACCGGTCCTTGCAGCTGTTGCTTCTGCTGCTGTTGTTTCTGCTGCTGCCGGTCGACGGCCGGGGGGGCAAGGTCCCAGATCTCGACCACCTTGTCTGAGGTGGTGGCGAGGCGCCAAGGGAGGGTTCGGTGCCACTCCACGGAAAGCGCCTACCGTGCCGACGCACAACCGCGGAGATGGATGACGAGTAACTTCAAATGCGTGGTTCTTCAGTGGGGACTGTACACCTTGAACTCAGTGGTACGTTCTACCCTGGGCTCTTGTGCGCGAAGGAAAGCGCGATTCATCTTGTTCTATGGATACATGTGTGCGTGAGAGAGAGAGCGTCACGAAAGAGAGAGACGTGCTAAGAAAGAGAGAACGGCAGCCACAGATAGGAAGGCGCCTGGACACACAGAAACAGCAACTGGGGGGTTTGACAGATGAAACAAATTAGGCTGGAACAAAATAAAGCGCTCGCTACCGGCCAAACAAAGAACCTGATACTCCTGGAACAGCAGCGCTCGGAAGAAGTCACAGCTGGTATGTGCAACCGACGACTCCATATTCTACCATGCTCAAGACAGCATGGAGCGGTTTCCACTACGTTGTGGTTGACTCTAGAATCTCCCTCACCGACTTGGTGTGCGAAGCGATCTTCATCTTCGGTTGTTTAAATTTGTAGTCCCAGATCTGCAGCTTGCCGTTGTCGAATACGGCAGCAAAGCTTGATCGATTGAGGGAGCAAACACGAAGCCGAGCGCGCGGCACGCGCGGGCGCAGAGACGCATCGCGGGTAACGGGGGGGGCAGACAACTGAGATAAGGCAGACCAGGAGGGAAAACACGACTGTCGACGGACGTGGAGACAACACCAAGGTGGAGGTTGAACTACTACTGTAACCGAAAGTTCTCGCCAAACTGTCGCCTATACTCGAAGGCACGAAGCAAAGCACGCGCACATGCGAACACACACACAAACATCACGCGCAGAAACAAACTGGCGAGAGCAGAAACGTACGGACCGGTGCTGACCAACGAGGCAGCAGGTATAGAAGGAGGTCCGGCCGAGAGTCGAACAGGAGAACTACCTGTGAAAAAACACCTCCTTACCCAATGGAAAAAATAAGTCCCCCAAGTATTGAATACACAGGTGATCACCCAACGGACAAAGAGTGACCAAAATTAGGATTAGCTAGACATTCACTTGTTCCGTTGGCCGGTGAAGACAGAGGTTGGGGGGCACGGCCGAGGGGCGAGGCGGGGGGGGTATGTCGATAAGAAGCCAAGGCGCCTGCACTGAGTGATGCGCTCTTTTTCCGAAACGGCGGACGACGGGGTGCATTGGGCACCCATGCTAGCCCCTGCTTTTCGCCGGCTGGGGAGATAGATGGCGGCGGACCCCCAGGCACGAGTTTGCCGGGCGAAGGAACGATACCCTATATTTGCACTCCAGATACCGGACGACTAGCCAATGGTGCCGTCGCACCTACTCAGAAACGAGCAGCAGAAGCAGCAGCAGCAAGGCAACAACAAAAATCGCACACACACACACACACACACATATTTCGGTCGGACAGGTGGACGTTGGACTCACTGGAACTCCTGGAGCGGGCTGAACTGGACGTCGCGGACAGCTCCGTACCTCGAGTCAAACGTGGCGACTGCTTTGCTGTGGCGGAGGTCCCAAATCTTCAAATATCCATCCTGCGCGACACAAAACAACGACGCGGGCACGGTAGGGTACGGATTGGAATGGGACGGGTTCGTCAACGGCATTCGGTAAATGGTTCTGTTCTCCTCGCCCACTGCAGGGTCATATGGTCCTACTTGACTCGGAGATACAGAGGGCACTCCTTGAAAAGGCACTCCTTGAAACTCCTTGGAATATAGCCGGTCCACACCCTAACCGGCGGCAAGAGCAAGAACCACCAACACCCGACGAGACTTATTTCTCGGCGGACATACACCAGCATGGGTTCCTCGTGTCCAGGAGGAACCAATCGACAGACAATCGAGATGTGTCCAAACGTGTTGATTTCTCGGGGAGTGTTTGGTGCAAAAAACACAGTCGTCTTCTTATCCCAAACCCCACCCAAACATTAGCCCTCTCCCTTCATCTCAAGGGCCTTCATCTCAAGGGCTACAGACTGCAGCGGCGTGGTAGTGAGCCGAAGTGCAAACATTGGGTAAAACCCGCTGTCCACACACAAGGGTTGCACCAGACAAAAATAAGCGAGAACAGACGCGTACAGTTGCGCTAGGGCAAGAACTGCTACACTTGGCGCCGACGGCTACGTAAGTGGAATGGGGGTGCGCAAAGAGGACGAACGATTATTGATTCTCCCAAACACAATCCCCCCCCCGGTGACTCTCATAGCGGCACACACGCCCTTCCTACCCCCCCCGCCCCTGTCTGTGCCTCGCCTGCGACCCGCTCAGAAGCATGTTGTGGTCGAACGGGTTCCAGCTGAGCCTGTTCACGCTCCTGTCGTGCGTTCCGATTATGTTCCCCGTTTCTTCCCGGAGCTGCCCCTGCCCCGCCCACGACTGAGACGACGATGATGACGACGACGATGATGACAGGTGCTGCAAGTCCCACATCGCGACGCCGCCGTTGCTGAGTGACGCCGCAACGTTGCCCCCGGAGGGCCGCCACGCCACGTCGTACATGCTGCGGCGTCGCGCGTCCAAGTAGACGGCATCGCAAGCGGGAGACGGAGAGTGGTTGGAGAGCGATCGACGCGAAATCAGCATGCGGAGGCATCAAACGCGGGAGACAAACGAAACAACAGTAGTGGACGGGTTTCCCTGCACCGTAGCAACCAATGTACAGCAGTAATGGTGGTTAGGTGGTCGACAAAAGGAGTCTCGTCGAAGTTCAGTGCGCGCTGGAAAAACGATGGTATTTGGGGCAGACGGTAGGATGCTCTCGTCTAGGCTCGAAGGCTCTCTCGCCCCCCCCCATCCACCCCTCGAGGCCAAGTGTGAGATCGATTGAAGCAAAACGGTGAAAAGCGTATGCTTTCCTCAAAGTACCACATTGTTGCCGGGGCGGGGAGCGGTATCGTCTATGGTTTGGCCCTTAGCCACTTATCCCGTTAGAGGTGGCGCGTCCGCTCCCAGGTTCCACTTCAAACCAAAAACAAATCTACAACACGTGGCCGCTGAAGGTGCTCAATACGTAACTTTCCTGTCATTTTTCGTGCCCATCCCAAACCTCGCCATTCTGGTTTCGGCCAATGTGAACGCGCCTGCTACACTGGGGTGGAGATTGTTTTCGCTCGCCCTGTCTGGTGTGCCAAACGTATCAACATCGTACCCCGGGGGTCTTGAACTATAGGACCGCAAACGCGAGTCATGGGGTGTCCCCGTACAGCAAACGCGGCTAGTGCGTAAGTTGGGTAGGAGGTTCCAGTGTACAGCAGCATAAAGCGCCACCCTCCGCCGCAGCTCAAAAGCACCGAACGGTGACTGAACTCAACGTTGCTCTAGATTGTCTTCCCTCGTCGGAGCAGCGTTTTGCATACCTGGCGAGATTCGAAAGTGCAATTTCCAAAAGAGGGGACACCTTCTACAGAACGCGGAGTCTTATTCCTCGAAAAGCACGACGACCACCACTGCTTCGATGTCATAAATAGCAGATCTAAACTAATACTGGGGAGAATACACGCTCTTCACATCCCGCTCGTTTCTTTTTGTTGTGTCACCTCAGCTTCGAACCCGCGCTGCCGGTAATCTTCCGCCTCCCGGTTTTAAGGGTTGCCACCTCCGAAAGGCCCTCAGGTGCTAACCGGATCACCTGTTATTCCACATGGGTGGAGCAGGAGATTGGAAGAGAGCGCGTGCGGGGAGGAAGAGGACTCAGATTCCATCACACCGTAGCGCCATCTACGAAACAGATGTCCATACGTACTGAAACGTTGCGCGCCCACTGCTACGGGACATCGACAGCGTAACACGCTGCTGGCAATTTTTTTTACCTAGTTGTTACGTGATACCCTCAAACTCAGGGTTGAACCGAGAACTTCTTGTATCAGGAGGGGCACATGTTGCCCGTACTCTTCGTAGTCCAATAGAGCTGGTGTGCGTAGAGCAACGAGGAACCGACATATGCAGCAGGTGGCTGCTGTAGGAGTTCTCGACGCAGTGCGTCTGACATTTCAATCTCGCAGGTTTCCTTCCCTGCAATCGTCCATGCTACTGGTGTGCTGTGTATCTCGGTATAGGCACGCGGTGTATGTAGATTTGAGCAACGGACAAAGAGACGTGGGATATTGGCTTCACTGCTGAAGGAAGCTGCCCACAAACACAGCAGTCGCCGCGATCTCATGATTGTAGGAATCTGTATGTGGTGGGCGCAGCATTCGATCAACGACAACTAATGCGCACCCCTAATCATGACCGCGCTCATCCTGTCGCTCTGTCGGTGAATAAAACATACCTTCATGATGCCATGGCCCCCGACAGCAGCAAGACGTTGGTCGCTCGAGAGCGAGATGGCGGTCAGTGGGGTAGACTGCCCGCTTTTCGCAAGGGTAAGCTCAGCCACCACGCCTCGATTTGGAGTGCCAGGCGCCATAGCAGAAATGGCCATGGTGAAGCAGAAGACTGCTTCTCCCCTCCCCGTTTCAGCAGCACAGGATGTACTCAACAACGCTCGTGCTCTTTTGCATATTCCCTCCAGCGAGCACAGCTCGACGTCCGGGTGCAACGGGACTGTCCGCATTGAGAGGGGATGCGGGATGCGGGATGGAATGGGAATGGTTCTCATATTTCGCGGAATGCCGTTTCGGACGAATTGTGCAAAAATGCGTCTCAATTAGAGGTGCTCGATGAATGTAGTGATGTGCTACACACAATTCAATCAGTCAACAACCGTGCTCAGCAGTCATTACCTCGAGCCCTTCACCTGCATGCCGAACTGACTGTGCCGTTGCCTCTCCTAAGCTTGAAACCAACTATTCAACAAGGCGGTGAGTCCTCGTTGTCGATTGTTGCTCAACATCACTGACTGGCTGTTTTGGATGCCACCTCTGTCGTGATGTTGTCGCGAGGTCTGCTCCTGTTCTCTAATCCCCCGTCAGTCACCCAATAGCTGTCGCTGTTTTTTTTTCAAGGTGATGTGTCATCCCTTATGTAAACGAACGGGCGAACGAACATGCAACGCAGAAGTCTACCCGCTGGGACCTGCAGAAATCGTGCGGAGGATTGATTGCATTTGTGCGGCGAACCAACAGCTGCTGGCGCTTCATCATGGCTCGCCGAATGTCAAGCTTCATTCAAGTAAGCGAAATATGCAGCGCACCAGTTCACAACGTTGTAGAGTGATGATTGCTCAAGGAATAGTCACCAAATGTGCCCCCTCTTCTCTCTCCGCTGTTTCCAGCATGTAGCCACATCACATGTAAGCGGGAGACATGTCCATTACCGGGCGTCCACATACAGTACACTATTGGAGGGTGCCTACACCTCTTTTATTTAAGAGCACACGGGGGATCACATTGTGTGCTCTTCAAACACCCAGAAAAACACCTGAATATCTCAGTTATCTAAATTCTAACTCCAGTATCAAACTTCCATCGCAAATTAACCTTCCGCTCACTCCCCCTCGTACAATGATAATGTGAGATTGGTTGTATGATAGCCCGATATTTCTGTCATCGACTTGGGTGAGCTACAAGCAGGGTTTTTGAAGCTGCTGTGCGGTCCGATTTCGAAACGCTTTAAGCTCACAGTAACGGCAAATCATCTCCGATTGTTAGTGTGTGGGGCCGCGAATTTCAGCGCAGCTCTTCCCACACATGTCCTATATACTCGTCGCCATACATTGTAGTCGATTTGAATGCCTGGGGTGATGGATGTGTACATAGGTCTAGCCACAAGCAAACATGCTTGAAGCGTTTCAAAATCGGACCGCACAGCAACGTCAAAAATCCTGGTTCTACCTCACCGAGCTCGATGATAAAAGGATCGTTCGGAAAATCGCGGACATATAATCTTCAGTGCGTCGCAAGGGCTACAATCTCAGATACAAACATTGTGCACGAGGGGGGTTGAGCGGACGGTTGATTTGCGATGGACAATTCGCACTGGAATAAGACTTTGAAAAACTGAGATATTCAGGAATTTTCCTGGATTTTTGAAGAGGAGACACTGCAATCCCCGTGCGCCCGTAACGACAAGGATGAACGTTTCTGATCACCAAGAGAATACGACTACCCAGTTTCAAGAGATGTGTCGAAGTTGCACATCAAACAGGGCCAGCTTCTCGACTAGTCCACGCCCTTCAACTCCAGACGAGCTAGTTTACAGTACATCTCAGAAAAGAGGGTGTCCGTCGTCATGTTGTTCCGAAGGCTACCACACCACGTGGGCACCCGCTTAGCCCATCTTGAACACAAGGATCAGCAAGTCAAGCGGCGCTTCTCGAAGTGTTCCATTGCAGCCCAGACGTTTCTTCGTAAGATGTTGCTGAAATTGCTATGTGACCTCATCCCGCATCTCGTCGTGCCCCGAATATAAAACCAACGTTTCCGCCACTTCAGGAAAGGCTGCCTCCGCGAAGTAACAAGAATGACATGGGTCTCCTGCTCTAGCCAACATTTTTTGGAATTAGTTTGTAGGCTAGAGCTAGTATCGAACCTTGACTTACAGAGTACGCACGGGTTGATCGTCGGGGTGGGAGCTGATCCGGCGAGATATCGACGAATTGAAAGGACGAGAATAAGCCGGTTGACCACCGGATACATGTATTCTCCAGCCACCAATCGACGAGAGGATTCTCCACCGGTGCTTTGTTCTGTCCCGATCCCAGAAGGTTCCATGTGGAACGCTCTACCAGCACCATCAACTCCCCCAGAAAGGTGCATGAAAGAACTCGCTAACCGGCACACACAAACAGACTCTCTCCCGCCCGCCCCCCCGCGAGACCAGAAATACGCCTGGGGGAAGCCCGGCGATCAAAGCGTTGTGGCCAGCCTCAAGGCCGCCGGCGATTCTTCTTACCAGGTCGATGTTGACCAACCGTACGCCGAAATGTGGATCGGAACTCACCCCAGCGGGCCTTCGAACTTGCTGACTAACAGCGGGAGAGTTGGTCCTCTTCTCAAGGTAACTTGGCGTTGCACTCAACATGGTTTGAGATGTTTCTTCGTACGAACTATCTATTGCCCGGGTGTAAAAAAGGAAGCCCTGAGCCTGTTCTCCAAGTGCTACGTTATGTAAACAAGATATTGGGCTTTCGAATATGTCGAGTTTTTTCGTGTTGACGCCTTTATTCACCGCTACTGTAGGAAAAAAACGGTATCTAGCATTTCCCAAGGCAGGCCTTGCTGTTCAGCAACGCAAACGCACTCGCACTACCTCGGTGCGGAGCGTCATCAAGTTTCAGCAAAACTCAAGCCAATGATAAACCACAGATATATTGGTCGGAAAGGATTATTTCGAATGGTTGAAGGCCACACAACAATGTGCTGTAAGTAATCCATCACTTGGCAAAAGGAACTTGATCTGGGGTCCCCAAGATTACACACGAACAGAGGAATACAACTGCCAGTAGGTCATGTGTTTCATTCTTGCCCCTCCCTATCCTCCGATCCTTGCTGTGTTGAGCGGCGCGTAATCATATTTTCATCATAAGGACCATACCATGGTTACCGCAAGTGGCAAAGGTTTGAGCCCAAGGCCTAACCTCTGCGAGACATATCGGTTTCCCAATGGGCCACTGCCACAGGCGGTCAATCCCCTCTTGACAAGACAACAACGTGACCATGCGTCGGGTTCGGTGCTTGAAGGGTGGTCAGATCCGGGTTGATTCCGAAGTAGCACTATCGACATCGAATACTTGGTCGTTTCCAGGGGGTCTCTCACGTCAGGTGTTGGAAACGGTGAGCGCATAGCAATGCCCAAACGCGTCGAAAACACGAGTCATGCTGCCATCGATTGTCACCTTCATCGCGTGGACTGCCTGTCGTCTCGTCTGATAGCTCAAGTCCAACAAACGTTGTGGGTTCCGTGCAGGACCACCTCGCCTCTGAACCCGAAGCTTTGGGCGATATTGCGCACAAGGGCGACCTGCCCTTCCTCTTCAAGGTTATTTCTATCAACAAGGCGCTGAGCATCCAGGTGAATCTCATTCGTTTCACTTGGGTTGAAGCGTGTGTCCACTGACTTGTGTGATGGATTGAGTGTTCTCGCATGTACAGCGTGAACGTGCCTCGGGTTAAACGTTTGTGAACCCGCGAAAATCTCACACTGCAGCGAGGTGTTTTCCGCTGCTACTGCCACAATCATGTACCCCCTCACCTTAACGCGAGGATGCGCAGCTTTGTGTCGGCTGCGTTGCACACTTCTCGCATTGTATCAGTGCCAGCTGTCGCCTCCACTACGCCTCCAATACACCACAGAATCGGCTTCCGCGCAATATCTGTGGCCTTAATCAATGAAAACCATAGCTGCCGCCGACTAACTCTGGGCTTCACCGCTGTCGCCAAATAGGCGCACCCGAACAAGAAGCTCGCGGAGAGGCTTCACGCCGAACGCCCTGAGGTGTACGCGGACGACAACCACAAGCCCGAGATGGCTGTGACCCTGTCCGACTTTGAGGCCCTGTGCGGGTTTAGGCCCTTCCAGGAGATTATCTGGAACCTTAACTTTTACCCCGAGCTGCGCGCCCTCGTTTCTCTGGACGCCGTACACCAGGTATGCAGGCGGGGACTTGGGACATTAATGGAGATTCTAAGCTATTGACTTGGCTACATCTACCCTGCACATCATCTCCGAGCGGGTCCGACGGTTCCCACATTACTGATCTTGTAGCATACCGTAATCGTGATTCGGCTAGGTGTGAAACCTAACCCTACGGTAACACATGGGCGAAATCAAAGCCCCCGTCTGAGGCGGTGCTTTGAGCCTGTCAAAGGAAATGTCACTGTGGAATCAATAAACATCACAACAAAATATAGTGTCATCAGCGTACATAGCTCACAATATCAGCCCCCCTTCCTGATTCCCTTCCTCGTTATCTTTCATACCGTTAAACGTATTTGATGAGGTTACGTTTCCGTTGGACACGGGTGTGTGGCCTTGAACGGGTAGTAACTTCACTCGCCCTTTTGCACTAGCATATGCCGCGGGTGGAAATGCATTCATCGGCAGATGGTGCTGCATAGGTTTCGGGTGGTCGACCTTTTGTCTCTCCCATATTCGCATCGTGTTGACAAACTGCCATATACCCAGTGATCCGCTGCCGCCCACGATGTCAATAACCGAAAAAGCACTGAATGAGATACTCTTTTCGCTTCTATGCACGTATTGCTTCTTGCATGATGAGGACAGATGATGACGGCGGGGGATGACATCGAGAGGCAAAAGTTCGCCCTCAGGGAGCTCTTCCGCTCCTACAACAATGCCGACAAGGAGACAGTAAAAACCCAGGTGCCGTGATGCCTAGGAAGAGGATGCGGCAGTCGTGTACCGGTGCATGACAATCCTAGAAACTGGGCCAATAGACAGGTCCCAGCAAAGCCTAGACCACTTTGACAGCTTGTGTTCAGATATCCACCCTCAGCATCGTTCGCGCTCTGTCCACACGTACTCTTCCTGCCGCCCTGCTGATCCCCACGCAATTCGTCAAGATAACGATTTTATTGCCCAAGCAGAATATCCAAACCCGTACCGCACCCGTTAAGCGAAGATCTTCAGTTTGTCATTTCGCACGGCCAACCTTTCACACAGTGCCTATCGTGAAATGAAAACAACAGATAGACCGGCTGGTCAAGAGGCTGGGTTGGGCCTCCGGGATCCCGGTGGTCGGAGAACAAGACCCAGGAACGGTCGAGACCGAAATCAACGGTCATGACGCAGAGGAGGTAGGTTAGTTGCTTGATCGTACACCGTCACGTCATGCTGTGTATGCCACCGGTTTGGTGCTGATGAAATCGACGCTGTAAGCAATATTCTAGTGTTACCCCTACATCCTCAGCGTACGCGGTATCGCCTTGATCTGTTTCGAGGTAGTCGAGATCAAGAGTCCAATACAAGTCCAATACAAGTCCAATACACATATAGTCGGCAAAGGAAGTCTGCGAAATAATCCAGTGAAAGTGGTGTTGTTGCAACGTCGATGACGATTTCATGGCCGTGTAGAAAAGTTGGTTGTTGGTGTCGGTTTCACATGCCTTGCAACGATATCCTCGACGCGATCTACAGGGCGACGAGGAAGAGGTCCAGAAGACGCAATTCACAGAACAAATGTTCGAGGCGAGATTTCGCCAGGGTTGCCCGACGAGTGAAGCACTCGACAAAAGGTAGAACTACAGGGAAACATGAGTTGAGCTGACAAACTGGGGGGGCGGGCGCATGCGTTTCTTGTGGGGAAGACGTTACCCATGGATGAGAGTGACAAATGTCTACCCCTAACGAGGCAACGGTGTTTTGGGTTGGAAATGATGAGCCAAGACGAGACAAATCTTGAAGTTTGACAGATAGTTCGCTGGCGAGTGTGCATGTGTCCCTCTTGTGTCTGCGTGACAAGCGTGATCAACCGAACGAACGAACGAGCCGCCGCAACGATGCGATGCGTGCTTCGGTGTGATGACGCGTTATCGATGCTATACCGTGGGAAATTAACTGTTCGCACGACCAACGAATAAACCGCAGGATGAAGGATGGCACACCCGATGTTGTTCGAGTGATGCTCCGCCTGTCGACCGAGTACCCGGGCGACCTAGGCATTCTCATGCCCCTGGTCCTGAACCTGCTGATGCTCAAGACCGGGCAGGCGTTCTTCATGACCGTCGACGAACCACATGCGTACCTCCGCGGGGACATTCTTGAGGCACGTACACACGGACGGCCGCACCCAGGGCGTATGCAGAAAATGGGCTACCTTCATCTACGATAGGCTGAGCCATGAGATCCAGGGGCTTTGGGTAGTAGTTGTACCACTTTTCCATTGTTCGTGATGATTTCGTGCGTCCTTACTGAAAAATGAAGGAGCGTACAAAGATCAGTTGTGGCCCAGCATCACCGTGCCCTCGCATTCTCCCTCTCTGACTCCGTGGCCAGACGACCGTTTTAGCCCCGTCCCTCTATTCACATTGTCTTCATCGCAGTGCCTTTCTTGATTGTCCGTATCCGAGCCCTAACTCCACCTCCGTTCAACGCACCAGTGCATGGCATGCTCCAACAACGTGGTGCGGTGCGCCTTGACTCCCAAGTTCCGCGACGTGGACCTTCTGGTGGACATGCTCACGTACAACATGGCCGCACCCGCGGTTCTTCGGCCGCACATCATCGACGACAATCGCAAGCGCTTCACCCCCCCGGTTGACGTCTTCGAGATAGAAATGATTAACGTGAGTGCGTTGGGCCTCACTGCAAAGCTATGTGACACGCGCAGTCGTGTACTTGCACCATGACATATATATGCTTCGTGTGGGAAGGAGCGTCTCGTCGTCGGTCTGCTGTTGACCTGCCGATCCCCCCAGAGAACAAGAAAGCCCAGTCCCAACCTTTCACTTCAATACATTTCTTGAACTCGATGCCGTTTACGAAGGAAGGCAACCTCGTCACTACCGAGATCTCTGGAATGACCTGTCAGTCGTCTCATCATGTGCTCGTCCCCCAATCCGAAACAGGTACCCGGAAACGACGCGTACCGCCTGAATCCGATGCCGGTGCCGGCGGTGCTGGTGACCCTCCACGGGGCCCAGGGAGGCTTGCTTCTTGACGAAGACACCGGGAAGGAGGTGATGGAGAGAGTGAAATGAGGGATAGAGCGCGTGCGAGCAGCTGTCATTTACCATGAACCGTTCACACTTGCCGAGGCTTCCGTGGGGGCACCTATGGTACTCCCTGTACTACACACTACCTTTACAATTTAGTTTCAACGTCGGGTCTGGGGCTTCCTCGGCTCTCCACGTGCTTACGAACACCACGATCAGAATGGCACCACAAGCAGACTATCCTCGAAGTACCCTTCCAATCCCTCGACGAGGTACCGCTGACCAATCCATCATTGGCTTTCTACGTCTTGATTATTTTGCAGATCCCAGCCGCTGAGGGGGGCATTTTCTTCCTCCCAGCCAACACGTACTGCACGATGGTGTCGGGAAAGACGTCAGACCTCCGGATCGCCATGGCCCACACCAATCTCAACTGGGGGCCGATGACACCCAGCGGTACCGGCGCTCCCAACTTTTGAGATGTTCTCTGCATGTATCGTTTGGGTTCCACCGATAGCACCGACTATATACCAAGCGGTGTGGAGGGAGGCATAGGCGAGGGGTAGGTGAGGAGTTAGAGTGCAACGGTGATGACGTCACACCTTTGGTCATGCGATTCTTTTCGGGGTAAGATCTGAGAGGCTAGAAAAATTGGCATGCATATGCGTTCCTTTCGACGCCACGCCGCGCTTCTCTCCTTGTATGAGCTATAAATGCAAAGTGCAGATTGGTGTTGTTATGTCTGTCCCCTGCAAGACACGTACTTCTGTTGTGTTGAATACGCGATGCAGTACTGAATTGTTGGCGGATTCAATCGTTGCAACATTTTTTCCAAGAGTAATATATCCACCGTTCCTTTACGTGTGCTCTCCTGGTGGAGCGAAATTTGGCTAGGTGGTATATGCCCTGTCTGGTGGCAACGCTGAAGCGAAAATGTGCGGCGTGGGGGGGGGGGGGGGTTGACAGGTGTATTAGGTGTTTTCATGTGTTTGTGTGATCCTCTGTTGTACTTCAATTTAGACCAGAATATTTTTTGCGTGTGAGCGGGGATGGTCGTGTTAGATTGTAACAATGCGGCAACCAACTCGGGGAGAGTGCCGTACACCATGGTGAGGAGGTGTTACATTTTCAAGCGCGAGTAAGCGGTTTGACGCTGCAAATGTGCTTTCTGGAGTAATCTCCTGCCTATCGCTCGACTTCGTCACAACGAATTAACGGGACGCAAGTTGTATGTGTACTAACCCCTTTGGCGACTGAACAACGAATCATGGGACAATTCCGTGTTTGTCCGGGAGGTCAGGGCAACAAAAAAATTACAACCTACGACAAGGGTCAATCCTCCCTGCGCACAAACGACGTACCGTAGGGTAACACCCCACCACGAGTCATTTTGGGATCCGCGGATTGTCGGCCAACCAGGTGACGAGAACCCGCAGTACATCATATTGGCGGACTAGTCCGCTGGCATCGCTTGTTCTGAGTCCTCAAGGCTCGCTCGTGCCAGCGTTGACAAATTCGGCCGTCTTGTTGGTTTCTTTACTCGCTGTGCCTTGCTTTCACAACGCAAGCTCACAGACCGATTCTACCTGCGCACAGATCTTACTCAGGGAGACACTCCGCGATGCCCATGGGGTACAGATATACACCAGCATACGGGAAAATCCAGCCACGCCTCCGCACGAGCATAGGCCGCTCTTGAACAAGCGGCAACCAACTACGAAACGAAACGCATCTTTATACATCGGAAAGGAATCCTGGTTGCCGTCTTACTTCCTCGTCCAAGCTCATAATAAAGGAAAACACACCGGGTCCCATTGCCAGAAAACTTCCTGTTCCCAGCTCGTCGAAGCAAAACAACCGGAACTCCGTGACCACACCTTTCTCACGTCTCCACAGCTCGATACAAGGGAAAACACACCAATACCCGTGGCCACAACTTGCCCTTCACAGCTCGTTCAAGGAAAACAACCGAAATCCCAAGGCAAACAAAACAGAAGCGGCCCTCACTCAAGAGCCGCTTGTTCTGCACAACCCTTGCTCATTGTATGATCGATGGGGATGTCAACACGGAAATTATAGGCCAAGTTCTGACATTTCGAAAAATTCCCTCGATTTCCTACACTAGACTACATCAATTTCTCTTGGCGCGTTCTGTACACAAAGCAAAAACACCAAAAATCAAAAGTTTTTTTTTTTCTTGATGGCAAACGAAATCTCCTCTAACAACCCACTCCTCTATTTTATGGGTGTGACAAAATTCGAGTTCTCGGCAGGGGTCACTGAATCTATACAACTGACGATTCAGCCCCCCCCCCCCCCCCCACCCC